TATGTTATACAATTTTATTTTACAGTATAATAGATATCGCTATTTCTAACTTTACTTACTTTCGAACAGAAAATGACGATTCTTCAAACCAAACTGATGAAAAGATGACCGTATTTGTACCATTCAGGTGGAGAGGGTTTCGAAAGAGCGTTATTCACGTAATTTGGATTAAAGAAATCGAGATCAAGTGTTATTCCACTAGGCGCCTAAACGGATCCCGAACAGTTCGTTGTTCTAATTTTGGATCTCTAAAAGTACCCCAACTATTGTGTACTCCAAAATTTTGCACTTTTTCCCAAAATGATATAATAGGCCCGCGGACTTCATCCTAGCCTTTGACCGTTGAGAGGGTATGAGACTGTTGGATCCAACATATTTAAGTTTCGTTCCTAATTTTCTAATTGTATTTCTCTCCACAGCAATAAAATACGATAGGACACTGCATTAATTTACTAGCAAGGTTTACAAAAGTGACAGATGCAAATCTTCAGCGCAATTTCAAACATCTAAAAATACATTTATAAAAACCAGCACCAGTAATTCATTCGACTTTGTGGATAATTAGGGGGCCGACATTGTCACCAGTCATTTCATTGTGAATCACATGACTTCCATCGCAGTATGGAAACTACAATCGTCAAATATTGAATAATAAAATCAAAAAATTATAAGCTTAAAGGATCTATCAAACAATGTACATTATTATGTACAAGGTTGACTTTGTATGAGCTTTTTCGCATTAAACACTTAATAACACAGCACATTTTGGTGTTCTTCTGTCTGTCAACCTCTAACACACCGATCATTTTGAGACGTAGAGATCTGATTATCTGGTCCACTGCCGAAGATGCATATTCCACTACATTCAGCAGACAATGCGGGATATGCGAATTTATCATTTTATGAGAATCAGTGTCCGTCGAACAACGACTTCCTATTGAGTGGCTGATGTCGCTCGTAGTGGCTTACACGTATGCTCCGGCTGACTTAGCTTTGTGTACGCAACCAGCGTTTAACGGCTGCTATTAGATTCATGGTATTCTCAAGTTACTGATGCAGCTTTGGTCCGTACGATTTCCTTTCCTTCTTCCTCGTTTTCCCGTTTCTCTTTTTCGTATCATGAACTGGTCGGTCAATCAAAATCTAGTCCGCGTGTTGTACGTAAATAACAGCTGTTCGACAGCAATTTATTTCGTACTTTTGCACATTTGAACGGTTTCATCAGGATAATTCTTTGGATGAATTGTTGGTAAAGATGTCTATTATGATGAAAAAATCAGTCTTGATTATGATGGATTTGAAGAATGGCAACGACTATGATCAGCAACACAATTATCACAATGTTAAAGATCATTTTGACGATACTGAATAAATGATCAACATAGCTTTCTCTACAACGACGATTTATAATTATAAATATGATGATACCCATGAAAATGAATATTATCACATCTTTATGAAAATAATTTTTAAAAGGTCTTAACGACAGGCTAGGATTATGATCGCTGACCCGCAAACCACCGTTCATCAACACTTTCAATCTTTCCTGCAAATGAATACTGTAAAATTCAGTTAAATGTAAATCCTTCTATTCAGAAATTGGCTATAATTTGAATTTTTGAGCTAAATGAAACAAATTATATAAAGATATCTGGATAATTCGAAAATCCTGACAGTATCCATTTACACAAAAAAATCGACTCGTGTTCATAATATTCATATATCGGTTTTAAATAATTCGAAATAAGAAAGGTTATGAAAACTGCATAAAAATATGCATATTTAGCACTATCATAAATGGCTGATTTATGCGGCGTTAAACGTTAGTAACATCAAGAGAAAAAGGCAGAACCTCTATCTTACATATCTGACGCTGACGCGAGTCTGGGTTCATCTGCATTTTGAAACCATCTCTAATCGCACGCATGACCTAGTGTACTCCCGGAAATCATTCAGACTGACTGTCGCTTTTTATGGCACGTTAATTTAAGCAAGCTGATTTAATTTAATTTATTATTCAGTTAAGTTTATTATAAATGTGGTATTATAAAATCATTTTACGTTAAACTCTGTCACTGAATTTACTGAAATTAGATTCACTATCGCAATATAAGGTAATACATGTCTATTTTTTATAACTGTATTTAACGGTCAGCAACGAGTCAAACACTAGCTTTTTTTCTACCTTGGGTTGGAGGATTTAGGGAAGGCTTTCGATTCAGTCTACACGCCGTCTCTATTGAATTTCTTGACGAGTCAGGTAATCAAGAAAAGACAGACTTCACTGCCATGATTTACAAGAATGCAACTTTTAGTGTGAAGCTTCACGAAAGCACAAGCAAGTTAAAAATGGAAAAGGATGTCTCAAAACATGATGCAATATTACCAAAGTTCATCCGCTTTAGATGAAAGTTTTGAAGAAACTCCAGTAGAAAAATTCACGACTGATGATAGATGAGCAACACTTAAGCTACTTGCGGTTTGCATATGATATTGTGATCCTCTAATATGACCAGAAGAATACCAACAAAGAATCCAAGAGCTCAATGAGCTCCACATTAAAGTGAGGCTGCGAATGAAGCCAGTAAATAAAACTCCATTCATGCTTAACAAATCCGTGACCCCGTGCCTGTTTAAGTAAAGAGATTTAATCTTGAAAAAGTGAAAACTACGTGACAGCTCACACATGCAAGAGGGGAATCGGTTGTGTGAAATCAACAGAAAAATAAATACGGCATTCAGCATTTTTGGAGGAAGGGAAATGTTCGGATCCTGGAAACTGTCCCTATCCTTGAAAAGAAATGTTTTTGACTAGTGCATGTTCCCAGTTCTAACCTATAGGGGCGAAACATGGGCACTAAGCCTGCAAACTATTCATAAACTACAAACTACGCGATGCAACATGGTAAGATTTGATGAGAATTAGAAGAAAATATAGAAAGGCAAATGAACTGGCAAAAGTATAAACAAGAGGCGGTGATGTCATTGTCTGAATGAAAAAATTAAAGACGTGCAAAAAGTACCGACCATTGCTGGACCAGAGAGACACTAGACTGGATTGGAAATTTATATTTTTGATATGTTGAATTTCAAATTCACCAGGTTTAACTGTATCTGATTTGATGGGATTGTAACTTAAGGAATTAAGTTCTATTTTTAAACCCACGTTTTTCGATCTCCAACATCTGCAGAATGACTTCTGGTCTTCGATGTCATTCGTGTCCACAGAATCAACGATCTTCTTTGCAGATTTGTTTATGTCCCGGTTGACAATGGAATCCCTGCTTTTGAGGTAAAACTTTTTGCAAAACCAAAAGCCGATGACAATACCAAGAATGAATGCTGGTATTTTCTGGCTGCATTCGTCACCTAAACGAAAGATTTACATAACAGGAATCAACGGAATGCAAAATACTTAGTGAGTGACCGTGAGCATAGCTATGTGACATAGCGGTGAATTCTTCTTCAGGATGTGCGATTTAAAATCTGGAAAATTAAAAATTATTTTAACGTAACTGCAACACAGCGGTACGATGAATCGTCATTTAAATTATATCCACTTTGAAGGTATAGATCAGTCATCAGCTGGTTATCACCGTCGACAGACAGGCGCTGCAGGGTTTCGCCACAGGTCTTTTGACATGTTCTGGCAAATGTATTACAATAAGCTCCATCTAGTTTGTTTGTGTGAAAGTCCGTACTTTAGCTGCCATGTGATTTTTATGCCAAAGACTAAAGCTGATTTAAGGGGCATGAAATATCCTAAATAGCTAAGACATTTTTAAATTAAACAGAATTAAAAATTATAACTACCAGTCCTACGGAACGTTATGATCCGTATCTTACGGATCTTTTTAAGCGTTTCCGCTGTTGAAGTTAGATATGAAAGTTATATAAGATACGTCAATGATACAATGCTCCAAATTCACCCCTACACTGATACGACGACTGATTTTAATCAATGTTTTCCATTTAGCTTCATTAGTAAGAGAACAGTGCCAGATGCTACCTGATATGAATGCACTTGTAAAATAATAATAAAAGATACTATATAATTTCCAAAACATTACCACAGTATCACTGAGTCGTGTATTTCTGAAAGTGAGACGTTGAGCATGACCATAAAAGCCAAATGGAAGTAATTAGTGCTGCTCTCATCTAGAACTGAACTCTTAACAAAATTACCGGTCCTGTTACAAACCAAAAGAGCAAGCAAATGACCACTCGTTGCCACAGTGGTGCAAAGATACTTGCAGAAGTTCCTTAAAAGTTTCCTCCTTTTCTTACCGGTTAGGGGTAGAAACGAAGAAGGTAACAATGAACTAGCATACAGCCCATAATCTCCTCTTTCACACTTATGATAGAAACATGTTTAATATAATAGTTCAAACAGGTGTTCAGCTATGTACGAAGAATAGGTAGTTGATGAGCCTAGATACTCCTTGTTGGAACTAAGAAAACTATGACGTAGCAGTCGAAAGAATATTCGAATTAACGCGCTTACAGTAAACGGCTGTGTCGAATCATCCCTGGTGTAAATTTCAGGAATTTCCAGAAATATTTGTGTGTAATATATTGTTGTTTGCAATGACATCTGCATACTCTGAAAGTGACATTTATGCCATGCAAAATAATACTGATACTACACTTGGTGAATTCAGATCCAGGTTGTAGGCATTCGACGTTGTGGAAGGTCCATTCTTCAACTGTGGCACCGGAAAGAAACACGGGTGTCCGCGAGATTAAGGTAGCGCATTAAACTCAGACATATCACTCCCGCTAAACTGCAGCTTCTGGTTTTGGTAACCGCCAACGTGCGGTGAATAAGTAATAAAAGCTCAGAAGCGTGATCATTACTCCAAAGCACGCGATTTAAAAACACATGCGTATCTATGGTGCAAAAGACATGGAAGGACGAGTATATGAATGAAGATACGTTGATTATTCTGAATTTTGTCATATTCTGTGTTGAGAGCAATTCGAAAGACAAATCACAAGGCAGTGGTGCAGCTGCTTCACCTTGGCGAACAAAGACTTTTGCCAACATTCTGTCGCTAGTTGTAGCTACTCATATTCATACATAGATTGCATTCTTGTCAAGTGCTAGCCTCACTTTCTACAGAGGTATAAGTCAGTTATGTTATGAAGCCTATAAATCAGCGGAAGAGTTCGCCCTATTTGATGAAACATTCGTATAGCGCCTTCTTGTCTTGGTAGCTGAAAATCTTCTTATCGTTACCAGCGATTTAAACCATCATTGAACATTATTCGTAGCATCCATCGGCCTCCGGAACACGATCGAACTGTCAAGTTTCGTCTCAGCAGGACCACGCATTTGTCAATGTTGAGTCAGCGTTATTTGCTGTGCGCCATGCACCAATTAGCAATTCTGACCATTGCACAATCTCAATGCTCCATAATCCAGCTTCCTGAAAGAAAAGCAAAACTTCGAAATCGAACAGAATTCGGAATCGCACACATGACCCATCTAACACAGATCACCTGCGCTACTTCTTCGAAATGCCTCACTTGAAAGAACTGATCGAAGAGGACATCAGTCACACGCAGAATTACTTACCGACTACGTAAAGTCTATGCATAATATCTCCTGTCCGTTTAAAGCTATCATGGAAAGTTACTGTGGTCTAGCCTCAAGGAAGCTTTGCAGATTGCGTCGGGTTAACGAAAAAACTGGAATGCAGTCAAGCCACTTTCAAAATATATTAGGGAAGAGCTCAAAATGATCCAGTTACAATTCTCAACAAATGTCTTAAAGGTTAACGCTTCCCAGCAAGAAAGATGGAACGTCTAAAAACAATTAGCAGTTTGAAAGGAAATTATATCCAAACGACATAAAGGAACTAAATCGGTACTTTAGATTTAGTGATGGCAAATTTGAAAATTATCGGACTACTGTGGGCGTAGAGCGACAGTTTCTTTTCAGAGTCGGCTTGAATTTTACTGCTGACTCGGTTTAAAACAGTGTTTCTGTTGGTCATAATAAATTCTAGGCATATTGCTAAAACACTGTGCCGCTGAACCTGGAAAACCTGAATCCATTCTTTTCAATAAATCTATCTCAAACACAATGATTCCGTAACTACGGTTCTGGTGCCTTCAAACCTTAAGTGGCCTGTCCACAGAGCGGCGTTTTGAAGGAGATAAGAAAGGTATTCTATTCTTTGCGTTGTTTGATAGACGCCGATGTAGAAAATGGAATATTGCAAACAGTTGTCCATTCGGGCATACTGTTATATTCAGTTATGCAGGTCCATTCAGCTTTCCAGGAATAAGCAAAGCTCACTTTAGACTGATGCATCGGGCGTCGCGTCTTTTGTCGCGGCTCAAAAGCATATGCTTCGAAATTTTGTCAAGACAGGTAGTCGACACGGTGACCAAAGACAGACCGCGGTTCGATAAGAAAAACTCTTAGATGATGCCAATCTTCCATCAGATGCCTTATTATCCAGAAGCCTCTAATTACGAACTGATACAGTATCAAAATATCAATGCAAACCCACCCGTACAGAACTATACAGAAAATCCGTCATTTCAATAATGGCGCGCTGTTTAATTAATTATATTTTTGAGTGGTGGATTTCATAACTAAATTATGCTGAAAAATTTATCACGTTATAGATATGTTTCAAGCAGCTAATTCAATTCAAATTATTCTTCTTATAACCTTCCGATTCCGAGGAAAATGCCAATAACGTCCTTGAAAAAGACAGATTCAGATGCTACTCAAAAGAAAGTAAAAATAAGAGACGAAAGAAGGAGACACGCTGAATTTGAATGAAGACGGTAAAAAGCTATTTACTGAAACAAACAGGTAGAAAAAACTAATTTAAAAATCAACTATCAAACGCCTGAATCTTTGTTGGATCAGAAACGGGCGCACGAACCATTTTAGAATTACCAAACTGATAACCGGCTTGCATGTTCTTGCTTCCGTAATCACCATACAATTCAGCCTTTAACAATCGAATTTTTGTGCGGCTCTATCACTGATCAATTCCATAGAAATCATCGGTGTTTACGTAATTAGTGATACCGGCAGATCACTGCAAGCGGTTGAGACAAAACATTTGAAGCAAGACAAATCACCAAACCACATGATACATCATTATACCGCCCACTTTGTCACCTGAAAAAAACACTGGCTCGACAATCATGGGATTTGACAGAATGGCAGAGATGAATAAAAAGTAGCTGGCACGAGATCCAAATGCATTTACAGTAAGAAAAAGGTTTAGCTGCTTTGAAACCTCATTAATTATGGCTATCGAACTAGTTCATTCGTTGTTCGGAGGGCAAACAACACGAAGTTCGACTTCACTGATATATTTCCGACTTCGAGGAATCACAGGCGCGAGGATTTTTTGTTTTTTTATCTTATACCATTTGCACAGCCATGTAATTATCATAATC